TAGGGACAAACTGCAATGAGAACAGCTCATAGATCTCTTGTACAATGAACAAAAAGTGCTATGTTTACTATATTTGGGTCTATTGAATAACGTTATTTTCATCATGTACTATATATTGCTATGAATATCGCATTTTTAATTTCCTGATGCTGTATTTCTTCTATTTTTGGAAGAGTTAAAGGATATTTAGATCACGGGATCTATTGAATGGCAACTCTAATTGGTCCGCAAAGAATTGCACTGCACAAATAGAGAATTAAACATAGAGAGGAGTAGAATTTATCTACTTTATTATTTCAGGTTCAAATATTTGAATCTCTTGATATATATTTTTTTTATTAATTGAAGTTTCGTGGGTGGTGTGTTGTTTTTTCACTTTTATTGGCAGTGTTGTTACTAGTGATAATGGTTTGTGTTGTTGTAGTTTGATTAAAAAAATTTAAATAAATATCATAGGAATAGATAATTATTTATATTTTAATAATCAATCAACAAAGAGTTTGAAAAAATCACCCAGACTTCAAAAACTAAAAAAGAGGAATTTTGTTTAAAACCTTATTATTATTCTTTCTTGTAACTTTACATAAAAATTTTAAAATAATAACCATAAGAAGAGACAGAATAAAACCATCTAGCTTTGGAATCAGCTAAGATACACCTTTATGACAATGATAAAACATAATTAACTTTTTTTGGATAAATTTCTAGTAAAACTGCTATGAAAAGTTCTGCTGTAGAATTTTCACAACCGATTGGCCAATTGATCTTATAACTTTCTTAACAAAATTTCAGTTGTGTATCTATTAATATTAATTAATGATAATAGATTTAAAATAATAAATATTTTTAACTTGATTCAATATTGTCACAAAAAAATACCTTAATATTATTTCTCAATACATCTGGTCTTATTTGAATAATTAATAGTATATTACAAAGTGTCACATACTGAACTTCTGGCTCACTTGAAAATGATGTCACTATTAAATCATATATGAGGTTTTTTTTGTAAGACATAAACATATATAAATAATAAATTAAAAAAAATTTTTTTATCCAAGGAGGGATTACACATATTTGTAATGTCATATTCTTTAATCATGTCATTTATTAAATACATGATAACTTTTACTGCAATTAGCACTAAACTAGAATTGATATGTTGT